GAGATTTTGAAGAACCGGAGGTTTAGGGTTTACGAAGGAGAATTTGACTGAGACGCCAATTTAGTGTCAACTACCTACTAGTCCTATTCCCACACACCCCCCCACACACCACCCTCAGCTTCGCGGCTACGCTGCTGCTCGGCTGCGTTGCTGCACCTGTTCAGCTGCGGGAAAGAGGGGGGATGGGGGTAGGAGTGCAGATGCGGGGCGACGGGCGGCAGCCCGAAGATGACGCTGCGGGGCGACGGGCGGCGGCCCGACGAGAAGCTGCAGGGCGACGGGCGGCAGCCCGTCGAGGAGAAGAAGTGACGAATTGATGAAAACGAGTGTTAGGTTAGAGCGCCGACGATGCGCTTACCAGAGAAGTTTCCGTCGATGGTGACGGGAAGATTTGGCGAGAGAAATTCCGCCGATGAATGTCGCGAATCAACGGCGACGAGATTGGCGATGGCTTCCCCGAGGTTTGCGGGACAAGTATCCGCAGAGATGAGAGGATCACGATCCGCGTATGCGGTTGAGCTGCTCTGATACCATGTCAGAACTTGAGCTTAGAATCGATACTATAGTAGTGAGCTCAAAGCTCTTTAAGTACATCCGGAATGAGCAAGGTAGGGATGAGGAGGGAATCAGGAGGCAATCCTAGGGAATCAAGGGTAATCCCAAGGCAATCTCCAATTGGTGGGTTGGAGATTGCTTGGAGATTACATTTGGGTTTGGTTGGGATGTGGGTGTACACCCAACCAAACACAAAGTGCAAACTACACTAAACTAGGATATAAAAGTACAAGTACAAAATGTGAGATTGGGGCCTAACACCAACAATGTGTGCAAATTTATCAAGGCCATCTACGGCTTTAAGCAAGCACCACGTTGTAGGTACAAGAAGTTGTCATCGGTGTTGGAGGAGATAGGTTTCCGGGCAAGCGCATGCGATGAGAGCCTCTTTCTCATGGGAGAGAAGGAAAGCCTTGTCATATTCCTGGTGTACGTGGACAATATCCTTTTGTTCGGGACCAGTAAGCAGGAGGTGATGAATGTGCAACAGAAGCTGATGCAAAACTTCAAGTGCAAGACCCTGGGGGAGGCGAACTACTACCTTGGGATGCATGTCGAAAGGGGTGTCAGCAATGGATGGGTGAAGCTGCACCAGGAGAAGTACATGAAGGACATGGGAAGCAAATATGGGGTTGAGGTCGGAAGGAAGATTGCTACACCACTTCCATCCGAGTTCAAACTCGTCAAAGCTGATGAAAATGAAGGGGTGGATCAGCGGGAGCAGGCTTGTTTTCAGACAATGGTGGGGAGTTTGCTCTATGCATCCGTGCACACGAGGCCGGATGTCTCTTTTACTATGGGGCAGCTGGCTAGGGTGGTACAAAATCCCACAGAGGAACACGTGGATGCAGCTGAGCGCATCATCAAGTATTTGAACTCCTATACCACCGTTGGAGTTCAATACTCGGCCGTGGCTCAAAGGAAGCAGAAAGGAGCAGAGGTTCTCAAGGAGAAAGGGGAGCACCTTGGGGAAAAGGAGTTGTTTCTCACAAGGTATGCTGATGCAACTTGGGCATCGGAAAAGGAAGACACGTCCTTTGTGGGAGGATATGAATGCGTGATTGGTGGTGGGCCCGTGAGCTGGAGGTCAAAGAAACAGGTGGAAACGGCAGGTTCCACTACAGAAGTCGAATACATGTCAATGTACCATGCAGCCAAAGGGCTGATATGGCTGACGAAGCTGCTGGAGGAAATTGGGCATGAGCAGAAAACGGCTACACCGTTGCTTTGTGACAACTCCAGTGCCATTGCAATGTCCAAGAATACGATGCTGCATTGGCTCACCAAGCACATGCAAATCAAATGGCATTGGCTGCACAAGGAGGTCCAGAGGGGATCCTATGAGCCCCTCTATGTGAAAACTCAGCAGCAACCGGCAGATTTTCTCACGAAGCGGCTTGTTGAAGAACTTCACAGGTGCTGTGCTAAGTCGTGCGATATGAGCCTCAACTAGGCTCATGCATGGAGGTGCAAGCAGGCGAATTGCTTGAGGGGGAGTTTGTTGGGTGCAAATCTTAATTAAGCACGTCAACCAGCCGTCTGCATGAAGTCCCGCATTTTGTGTATGCTCTGTGCGCATTTGTTTTTGCATTATGTTTCATGTGTTTTTGTTGGGGGGCACATGACAAGTCATGACGGATCATGACGAGTCATGATCTCATGACGACTCATGTTCGTTCGCTAATTTTCATGAACAACCGTGAGCGTTCATGATAGTTACGAGCGTCATGAAAGCTCATGAGAGCTCACGAACTTTCATGAGCGCTGGTGGCGAGTGTCGAGTGTGTCTGGAGGGGTGCTAGTCTCGAGTCTTTGACTCGGACCTTTGACCAATTTCGCGATGTTCAAAAAGGGCGTGAAAGTTAGGACCCGTGCGTGGGGTCCTGACATGCGCGTGTGGCCCCGCAGGGCCCAGGCGTGTGTCACAACTGTTGCGACCGTGCGCAGTTGCATGATCGCAACAAGACAGGCAATTTATTGCCTTGCTCCGCGTGGGACAAAGCACGATCGCGTCAGCGATCGGTTTTTCTCGCTTGACCGGGGGTGCCTCGGGATTTTGGTTGACCAACCGTATTCCTTGCTGACTTGGAACACAGGTAATTTCGCGAGAAAGTCACGCTGCCTAGCGTGATCATTTCGACGCAGGTACAAAACGGTAAATACCGTTTTACCAACTGTAAAATCCGTTTTATAACTAGAAAACGGTTTCCCACACGAGTATCCATGATTACTCATGACGTGAGTCAGCAGGGAAGTTTGACTTCAATTCAAATGGATTACAGTTAATTCTAATGAGGCAGATTGAGCCAAATTCTTCAGCAGTTTCACAACCTTTTTCTTATATAGCAAAGCGAAGACCTGGATTCCATTTAAGCAACTACATTACGTTTTCCTTTTGTGTGTTTAAAACTTAATATAAATGTGTATTTGTACTTGTTCATTTTCACTTAATGCAATCATGCCTTCCAAGCCTGGAATTCTACTACTACGTATTGACGGAAGTAGAAACGTAACGTGGTGCTGCCGAAACGCTACTCGACCGGATTACACACTCCACAAATCAAGCAAGGCATAACTACTCACTTTATTTTTTCTTACGCCCTTGGCTATGAGGTGACATGCTGTCACATTCGGAGGGTCTAAAATGAAGTTAAGTGTTGCCAATTTTGAGTTCGTGGTTCAATGTCAATCGCTTCCGCATAGTACTCAAAGTCAACAGAGGTAGATGAGTAGTAGTAGTTGTAGAGGGAGTAGGAGGAGGAAGGGGAGCACTAAAATTGCAATTATAAACAAATCTAAAGCGTTGAAATGTTTGTTCTCTTTCTCTTGAAAATATAAAATTCCCCCAAAACAGCTCTAACAAAAAATGGCCAAGTTTTTTAAATAATGGCGTTAAAAACTAGCGTAATAATACGGACCGTATTTTACTCCTACCAAAATATTGAACCGTGCCCTACGGGTGTGTAGTGAACAAACTCATCATTTCAGCTCAAAGCGAGCTCACTTTCAAATGAGCATATACTCTTGTTATTCCCTCCCTACACACAGCCTCCCTAGAAACACAAGAATTAGAGCATTTCGGTTTAGGGTAAATAGTTACCAAGGAAATGACGAAATTAAGGTATTGTTTTTTTTGGTCGACATTTCAAGAACGTTTTTTTAGTTATACTGTTCGATTTTGGCAAACAGTCAGTACACTATCCTTAGCTTGTGTCTATTCTTAGACATTAGGGGTTCAGAGCGTTCCGCCCTCGTTTTGGCAGTGTAGGATGGCATCCAAGCCCGAACAGGTTCGAAAGTTCGCCTCAAACGCTCTAGAGGTTCGTGGCAAATCTTTAGTGTTCGCCTGTGACCACGAACACACGAACACCTATTTCAGAAATTTGGTTCGTGGCAATTTATACGTGTTCAGTTCCCCAGCCTTCGGTATTCGTAGAGGTTTGTGGCAAACACGTTTGTGTTTGCTCATGTCAAGGCGAGGGGAGTGAGGGCGGTGTGATAGAGGCGCCAATCCAGGGTGGGTAAATTCTTGTACTGCATGGTGGCATCCAGAGGCGGCACGGGTGCGGGAGTGCACGGATCAGCAAACATTTTGGTACATTAAGGGTAGAAAACGGCTCGAAGGGAGGGAACGCTAAGAATCTGGTTGAGGTTGGGTGTTTTGGGGGGGGTTCTTATTTCAAGTTGGTTTTGGGGGTCCCGATTCTGTTTTCCAATATTCAGGCTGCTCGAAAATTTGTGGGGGCAGAGTCAACGTCAAACGCAGCGTTCTGATGTCCTGTCTGTCTGAGCGTTGAATCCAGCATAGGAAGGAAGGGACTACGAATGCAATCACTCCGCGCCACTGAATGTACTGAAAATATTGAGTAAAGATGACAAGACAAGCCTTACATTCAATAAATGGAGGGGTCTGGCTACCCAATCTAAGCGAGCGCAGAGATTCGAGAAGTGCGGCAGAGGAAGGAGGTCTTACGTGCTAATCAGGTTCGTAAGCATGCCAATTTCACTGGGAATTGAACTTGTGAATTGATTGGAACCAAGATGGCTGTCATGAAGGCGAGGCATACAATCGGGCAGGGGTAACAGAAACAATCAGTACATGCATACATATACATACATATGTATGAGCAACTAGGTACAGCGGTGTGACGACGAGTGATTGTGGTGTGCCATCAGTGATAGGGGATGGAGTGGTTTTGGGAAGGAGAAGAGCGAGGTCTTTTCAGGGGCGATGAGAAAGGGGGCAACTGGAGGAAAGGAAGGAGGTAGGTTGAGAAGAGAGGTTAGGAGAAGTGTGGTGGAATCATAGGAAAGGGACACAGATGGATGAGCAAAATACGAGAAGAAAGTAGAGTTTTGAGACAAAGGGATAAAGACGAAACGACTGAATTGGGAAAGGTGTGAGATTCATTGGAGAGTGCAGCAGATCGGGTCAGAGGCCTTACAGGCGTGTCAGCTTTGTGAGGGTGAAAACTTCAGTTGGAATTGAGCCATACAGCTGATTCATATAAAAATTACTGTGATGATGTACATAAATTGGACACGTGATACAGGAGAAAGAAGAATTATGATTTCAATTCGTTGGCAAACACCAGTTACGAGGAAATTAATATTTTTACTCTGCACAAGGACATTACACGATAACAAACATTTGCCAAAGAATGTACACAGACATGACAAGGGATATACAGGGGTAGGATAAGCAAGGTGAACCTCAGTTGGTCCTCGCAGAACACTGGAGGATAAAAGAGGGCTACACGAAGGGAGGGGGAGGGGGAGGGGGTGGGGGGGAAGAGGGGGGGTGGGGGGGGTGGTGGGAGGGGGGGGGGAGGGGTGGGGGGGGGGGGAGGGGGAGGGGGGGGGGGGGGGACATATTGAAAGCACATGGAAGGGGGGGTTAAGAATGGGAGGTTGGGTGGGGGTTTCACTACATGGGAAGAACAGTAGCGTCCTATGTGTGCGGTAAACAAGGTTAAAAGAAACGTCGTTTTTTTTTTTTACCGTAAACAACGGCCTTAAAAACCGACAATAAAAAACGGCCACAAAAAACGGTAAAAAACGGTTCCAGAAGGTGGTTTCGTTTGAAGAAAAAGTCGGCCATTTATGGGACCATCACAAAAATGTGTGTGTCTGGAAATCATCTGACCATTATTTTTTTTCACAAGGGTTCCAAAAACGTTTGAGAATCATTCAGTAATCATCTAACTACCATTTGTATAGCATTTTTGTCAGACCAGATGATATGCTGATGTTTTATTAACGGTTTACCAACGTTTCAATGGTTTGTTTAACAGATGATGTTTGTTGAAACAATAACAAGGTTGCATAAATTTGTGTTTCACAATCAATTTATGCTATGGTTGATCCATATAGTTGCAACTTAATCATGCTTCTTTAATTCTGAGAGGCAGTAAGGTAAAAGTTTTATCACGCGGTAAGTCAAGTTCCAGAATCCGCTGTCAGGATTCAAACCCTGGTCTCCGTAACGAGAGTCAGGGTATTAACTGACTGGACCACAACGGATGCATTATCAACGCGTAATGTTTATCTATTAATTTTGAACGCGCATTTTCCTAGCATTGTCGACATCACGCCATGGTCCCCAACCAGCCCAAAAATCTCTCTAACCAACCAAATTCGCCTCATTCAATCCAACTCAGCATACCACTTTGCCCAACCAATCAAAGCCGGCATTGCATCCACCTCAACAAAATCAGGCCCAACCACCACCAATCGTGCCAACTAACCCACCCCATCCACACCACCTCTCAGCACTCTACCCGTTACGCTTGCACATAAAAGGTGAAGTGGGCTCTCAATTTGTTATTCTAGAGTGGCTGTGACTGATTTCAGTTTAGTTCTTCCTTACCTTAGCACGTTTTCCAATCTCGTTGTCTCAACCGCCGCCATAGTCTCAACCGTCGCCATAGTCTCAACCGTCGCCGTAGTTTCAGCTGTCGCCATAGTCTCAACCGTCCCAATAGCTCGTGATTTTTCGCAATTGCCACGAGTGCGCCTAATTGGCCGTGTGTCTTTCCCCTCGTGCACTCCGTTTTCTTTGTGTAGGTGTGTGCTCCGTTTAAATTCCTCTTGATCAACATGTGCAGGTCGAAGCTTAGGTCGCACTGTTTTCTGATTAAGGTCACGTCCGATCCTTCCCTGAGTTAGCCGAAATTGTTATCTAACTAATGTCGTTGGCTCTGTTTCTACTCTCATGCAGTCCGTTTACTTCGTGTAGCCTTGTGCTCCGCGATGCATATCTCTCTCCAGGTTTTAATTCTTTGTTATCCCCACGTGCAGGACGCGCGGTTTCCAGGTTGAGGTCACGCTATGTTCCTACTCTTGCGCTTTTGTGAACTGCTAGCTAATGAAACGTTTTCGTTTTTGTTCGTTTATTTCGCTGGCAGACGGTTTTATACTGTATTTCCTATTAATCTCCAGTTTCAAGTACTCCTTTTTCAGGTAAGCATTATGTTTACATGTCACTGGTATAAATTCATGGCTAACTCTTATGGTGAACTGCAGGGGTTGCTTGGTGATCTGCAGATGGTTCTGTCTTCGGCCAAGACCATGCCCACATCATGTATAAGACGTAGATCACCCCCTGCAGTAGGCGAGGGTAGTTCTATATATTTCTATCTGCCATTGTGCCATGGATATATTTTACATGTTGTTGGCATTTCTATTACCGGTAATGGGAAATCTGAACTGTTAATATTAATAACGTTTGTGGAATGTCCAATAATAAGTAGTATGAAGTCAACATTCAAACTCACTGAAGAGTACAATGCAATCAGATCTAGTCTCCAAAATCACTTCGCAAAAACTCATAAAAAATGTCAGTCGAAGGTATTCAAGATGCAGTTTTGAACAGAGAAGCATTCGAGTACCATTTGAAAAGCATTCGACAAAGCATTTGGAAAACGACCTATACTTTCTCAAAAAAGCGTTTGAAACCCTACGTTTATAAATCATTCGAAAAAGCTCCAACGAACCTCTTTTCATCGGCTTTCTGGACGCTGGATTTTTGTGATGACCAAATTGATAGCGAAAATCACCAGCATGAAGAGGACGAACTCCTCCTTGCATGCGCTTGTGGGCATGATTGAAAATGTATTCGACCTTGTCTTTCCCTTTTTTTTCTTGGTGACAACAGTTCTCTAACAAAAAAACGCCGTTTTTCTGGAAATTTACCGTAAAAAACGGACCGTTTTTTACGAAAACCGTATTTTTGAACCTTGGAGGTAAATAAACGTCCGCTAACCCACTTGTAACTCTCATGTTAGCATCTTAGTTACCATTACAACTCTAATTGCTGGCTTGCTCGCCAAGTCCCCATCCCAATGCAACTCACTGCACACTCCCACCTCACTCACAGCCACACCTGACACTCACTCCTTCCTGATGCCACCTCCCCACTCCCTCGACTTGCACTCCACACGTTCGTCCACTCGACTCCACTCCACCCTAGTCACCTTTCCAATCCTTGTCCTCCCTCCCCTCCAGTGTCCACATGTTCGCCGGCAGTTCCCAAGGTCAGGAGGACGTACAGGTCAACAAGCTCTCTCAAGTTGCTGATGGACGCCGGAATAGGCCCTTGCAGACCCAAGTTCGCCAAACCACTGCACCCACACGTAGGTTTAAAAGAACAGCAAGGCATTAGTGGTGGCACTTAGGAAGGGACCGATGTGGGAGTCCCTGTGTTACCAAACATCTCAAGTACTATGCGCTGATAGTACTATAAAGCATGGGCGACGATGTGCTGTCGGAATAGAATAGCCAGACTGCAGGTGACGAGACGGGACCTCACAGTGTCACGATCATTCCGTTCGAGTCGCATGTAATGCCGTCAGCATTGTCGCAGTTAATGCCGCCTTGCATTATCGTCTCATTCCAGCCAGAGAAATTCGTATTCCATGCCACCTGGCAGTCGTGCAGGAAATGCACTGCAGGGATTGTGGGAGAGAGAAAGAGGGGACGAGGAGGAGAGGGGGGAAGGGGGAATGTGGGGGGGGGGGGGGGGGGATAAGTCACCATGATGAAAGGCGGTGTATTCCATTGCAACCAACTGGGCCTTAGTACACGCCGTGCCCTAGATTCTCGCGTCACCTTGCGAGGCCTCCATTATCGTGGGCTGGGCGATGGGGAGGCGAGTGGCGAGGGAGGTAAAGCACCATGCGAGCGTTAGCGAGCGCAGCACGCGCTCACGCGCCATCCGCTGGCGGCTCACCGCCGCCGCTGCAGCCCCGGTCGGGCAGGGGGCGGCTAGGCTGTAGCGCCGCATGCTGTCGCTCCACAGGGCTCGCCGCTACTCAGACCCTCGCTGTTCGCGACTGCTATCACTCCTCCGCTCGCGACGGATGGAGCCGGCGGCGGGCACTTGGGACGGAAGTGTGAGAGATGAGCGCCGCCTTAGCTATTAACTACACTACTTACGCGACTCAGTGGCGGCCCGCCAGGAACAGGGAGCTCCTGTGTGTTTCACGAAATGAGCCGATGAAACTGCTACTGCTGCTGGTGGTATCGTCCGCAGCCAGCATTCGGTAGTTATGAAAGGAGCATAGAGATGGTGGGGGGGAGCTGGACTGAGGGCGTGTTATGCTTGGTGAACTTTCACCTGATTTGCAGAGGTTGACTACGATGTTGTGCGTTTTAGAGCGCTATATATTCTTCCCACCGCTTTGAATCGCCACGTACAGGACTAGCCTGAACAGTGGATTCATGAGCTGTGGGGCTGGGTCCAACAACGTAGGGTTTTCGGCTTGAGCAACTATCTACGTATCCGTAGAAAACCCCATCCATCCATTTATGTTTTATAATCGACCGCTCTGGATCAGGTCAAAACGATTTTCAAACGTATTCGGGCGTGCACTCTGGGCATCCCCTACGACAGAGTGAGGTGAGCTCACTATGCTCACTATGCAGGAGAGGTTGCCTGCACTGTCAGCCAGCCAGTAACAAGAGCACTGTACACCCACTTTCGTGCTTAGACCAGCTGAACCAGCTCTGGAGGTGATAGAACACGGTCTAGAATGGTTTGTTATGGTTCAATATGGTTTAATTAAAGAATTTGAATACAACAAGGCCAGCCAACCAGTCCAGATACTCGTGGGTTTTACTGGCCCTTCTCCGCCTCAGATTTGACAGCTTGGGTGTCCGCTCCGCACACCACATGTTTCCAGCCGACCTATCTGGGTCTTCAATATATACAATAACCGACTTTAAAACACGAGGGTTTAGATTAAGCTACGTTACAACTTCTGAAAATATGGAGAAATGTTCTATACGGGCATATCAGTCTATCTATTATTATGGAATAAAATATTGAAAGCATGCTTGAATAAATTTTTGGGTTAATAAAAAACTACCACTTCAGAAACATCATTCTACTCCTTTTACAAACCATGTTGTCTCTACAACTTACTGGATTATGTTATTTAACCAGGAATCGCAGTGGCTATGACAACGTTTGGTCAGTTGTAGGTAGAAAAAAAATGAAGTCTTGTAGTGACATTGTAAATAACAGTTGGAAGAGAACAAGATGATTAAAGATAGGAGTACAATGATATAAACAGCAATCTAACTAGCCATGTACTGGACCTGGTACATTACATTATTAACTGTATTGCATTGCTATAGTAACCGCATCTATTGCTCCACTCGACATTTACCATGTTGCTGCGTGTAACCTCCGAGTGAGGTTACTGGACGATTAACAGTCGAGATCATTGACTAGCAGCGACGATTGACCTTCAGGTGACTCTCAAACTGACACGTGCTCCATATGGGCTATTGCAGTACTAGTACAGTAGCGCTACTTCGCTTTGAAGTGGTGCGCTAGGTGAGCCACGTGGGATTCCTTTGAGCCACGTGCAGTGCTCGAACTTCTGACGTGTCAGTTTCTTCGTCAGGAAATCAGCTGACATGTCACTAGTTGGGCAGTAGGTAAGCTTAACCCTGCATTAGTCAATCTCGTCCTTGACAAAAAAGTAACAGAGTGTGACGTGTTTCGTGTGGTTCACGAAACCGGGCTTCTTTGCGATTTTGATCGCGCTCTGGTTGTTAGAGAGTAACATCAAATGCCTATTCATCGCCACTTTCGTTTCTTATAGGAGCTCCATCAGGTACATCCTGTCAGAACATCATAGCTTATGCATTTTGTGTAGACTATAGTGGGGTAGCCCATAAGGGGTACAACCCAATTAGGGTTGGTACTTGTACCCAACTCTTTCATAGTCCATTCATTCTCGTTCTAGTCTTCTCATCGTATCGAGCATGTTCCCTCGTGGGAACTGTTCCTAGGGCCCACCGATTCGATTTTTTTTTCCTGCCCCGAGCGCGCTCACCCCTTGCCCGAGTCGCGCTCCCCTCTCTCGATCCCGTCGCGCCGCCCTAGCGGCTGCGTCGCGCCGCCTTTGTGGCCCCGATCCGCCGCCCTAGTGGCCCTGTCGCCTACCTCTGCGGCCCCGGCGCCGCCCTTCTCGGCCCCGATCCGCCGCCCTAGCAGCTCCGTTGCCTTCCCCGCGGCCCTGGCGCCGCCCTTCCCGGCCCCGATCCGCCGCCCTGCGACCCCTTCGCCTACCCCGAGGCCCTGGCGCCGCCCTTCCCGGCCACGATCCGCCGCCCTGCGGCCCCGTCGCCTACCCCGCGGCCCGCACGCCGCCCTTCCCGACCCTGACGCCGCCCTTCCTGACCCGGCCCCGCCTTTGCTAGCCCCGTCGCCTACCTGCGGCCCCGGCGCTCCCCTTCCCGGCCCCGTCGCCTACCTGTGCGGCCCCGCCGCCGCCTCTGCCGGCCCCGCCGCCGTCCCCACGCGGCCCCGCCGTCACAACCGAGCCGCCGCCGCGTGCTGCCGAGCCGCCTGCAAGCCGAGCCGCCCAGGCCTCCGCACCACGCCAAGCCGCCCGAGCTGCCGAGTCGCCGAGCCGCCCGAGCCGCCCGAGCTGCCGAGTCGCCCGAGCCGCCTCTGCCGCTGAGTCGCCGAGCCGCCCGAGCCGTCCTGTCCGGTAAGAGCAGCGCCTCTATCACTGCACTGCCCCTACCCTACTGTTCGCGCTGCTAGTCTACTACTGTCATGGCTACCCCTAGTGTCCTCGCTTTTGACGCTGAGGGTCAGGCTATTGACTATAACGTCTGGCTAGATGATCTGCAGCTTTTCCTACAGTGCGATAAGGCTCGTCTCTCCCTCTTTGACCTTACCTCTGGCGCCTCTCGTGCCCCTACTGCTGATGCTGACAGAACTGTTCGCTCACAGTGGGCCACACGCGATGCTGCTGCATGTCTTGCTGTGCGTCGCCACCTGCCTACCTCTGAGCGTGCGCACTTTAGCCAGTACAAGCGTGCTCAGACCTTGTACGACGCTGTAGTTGCACGCTACTCCTCCCCTGCCATTGCTGCGCTTAGCCGCCTCATGCTACCGTACCTCTTCCCTGACCTTGCTGCCTTCCCCACAGTCGCTGACCTCATTACGCACCTCCGCACTAGTGACACTCGCTACCGCGCTGCTCTTTGTGCTGAGTTTTGCGCCAAGGCCCCCCCCCCCCCATGTACATCACCCTCTACTACATAGTCGCCCGGCTCCCTGACTCTCCGCGCGTAGTCAGGGACCACTTCCTTTCAGTTTGCCCCACCACTCTCACCGTTGACCTCCTCGAGAAGGCACTCTTAGCAGCAGAGAAGAGCATAGTCGCTGTAGGAGCCTCTCGTGGTGACCCTCGCACCCCCGTCTTTGAGGGGTGTTCCCCCTCCCCCCTCTTGCCCTCTGTTGCCTCTGCTGCTGCGGCCGACCTCGTTGGTTTTGAGTCGGTCGGCGCTGCGTCTGCCCTGAGCGGGAGACGCTGCACTAGCAAGGGCAAGGGGGGCAAGGGCGCTGGAGGGGCTGGCGGGGGTGGCGGAGGTGGCAGTGGAGGCAATGGAGGGGGTGGGGGTGGTAGTGGGAGTGGTGGCGGGGGTGGAGGTGTCGGTGGCGGCAGTGGAGGCGGAGGCGGCGGCGGCGGTGGCGGTGGGAGCGGAGGTGGCGGAGGTGGCGGAGGTGGAGGAGGCGGTGGCGGAGGAGGTGGAGCTGGTCTGGGTGGCGCTGCGCAGAGGGTCGGCTCCGGTGGTGGTCACCGCCAGCAGCAGCAGCAGCACCAGCAGCAGCGCACGCGTGACATCCCCCCCCCTCAGCAGCTCCGTGAGTGGTATGCTGCACGCTAGCGGGGTGGGGGTACTGGTCCATGCACCTACGTCCTACGCACCAGCGACCGCGCGGGTGAGTAGTGCGGGGGTGCGCACTCCACCCAGCGCTGCTTTGGCCGCCTGACAAACGCTTGGCGTCACTAGTTCCCTCGCTGGGGCGAGCTGTCTCAGGCTGGAGTAGGTGTCTTTGACCTTGACTTTGATGCTATTCTTGCTGCCATGTATGCTGTGACTGTTAGTGATAAGGGTGACTGTTACCGGTGTTTTCCGCCCGACCCGGGCATTGAGACTGCTACTCTAGGTGCTAGTGAGGCTAGTGCTCTAGGTGCTAGCGGGGCTGCTGCTCTAGGTGCTGGTGAGTCTGCGCTCTCAGGTACTGCGTCGGCTTCGGCCTCCCACACCTTCACCCTTGACTCGGGGGCTTATCGCTCCTTCTTTCGAGACCGCACCACACTCACGCCGCTTGGTCGGCTAGTTGCAGTCTCCCTAGTAGACCCCTCTGGAGGTCCTGTCCTTGCTCACTTCTCCACTGTCCTCCCGTGTCCAGCAGCCCCCTCTGGCACCCTGTCTCGTCTTTACCTCCCCTTGTTCTCTACAAACTTGGTGAGTGGTGCTGACCTACAAGATGCAGGAGTTCACCAGTTCACTCCTGCAAATTAGCCGGTGACCCACTGCACGGCCGCTCGGACAGGCCGACACCTGGCCACGTTTACACATTGGCGGGGGTCGAGCCTGTACACACTGACCACAGCGTCTCCTCCAGTCATTGCGTCTGGTCAGGTAGCTGCGTCAGGTCAGGTGTTTGCTAAAGCGTCCAAGTCTGGTCCTGAGTTTGCCCCCTGTTCGTGTCGCCTCCTGTCTCACGAGACTCTCCTTTGGCACCACCGCCTTGGTCACCCCTCCTTGCTTTGTCTCCGAAGCATGGCCTCCCGTGTCCTTGTCTCTGGTCTTCCCCGGTCCCTCCCTCTCCTTCCTCCGGGGCCTGGCCCTACCTGCGTCCCCTGTGTCGAGGGGCGGCAGCGGGCTGCCCCTCACTCCTCCCAGTTTCCTCCGACAGAGGTCCCGCAGTAGACGCTTCACATGGACGTGTGGAGCCCGGCCTGCGTC